CTTTTTTTTTTCTTGTTGCTGAGACAGCTTAAGGTTGGGTTTTGGCTCCCACTCGCCACGTCACATTGTTAGAGCTCTTGTAGGTTCGGAATCAAGGCGATTTCAAGGAATAGATTTCCATAATTTCCTTTATAGTTATCTCTTTTCTTTCCTCAATTACAAGATACCCCCCCCCCTTTTTCTGCTTTGCTTCTCGTACATAAAACTAGCCCGACGATTAGGGGTTCGTCTGCAGAATACAGGCACCAGCAGCTTATGTGAGGAGGCAGAGTCCTTCATCACATCCATTCTTGCTCTTGACATTTTCCAGACAGTTGTTTCCGTTATCCGACGTGCTGGCATCCTTGTAGGTAGCTATACGTGTAGCAGCAGCCGAATCGTCAAAGTTTGTGTAAAGGCACCATGACAAAATATATATCACTGCTTTTGTAATAGTATGTATACACAAACATTTATTTAAATATCATAGGCGAGAAAACTGTAACAATGATAAAACAACATTGTCACAACAACTGAAGTATTAACAACAATACCACTATCTCTACAACAACAACAGCTGGAAACAACAGCACCAACAGGGTAAACAAAGTTGTTGTTGTTTAGAGATGTTGTTTAAGCCTAATCCAATATGTGATAAAACAAATGAACAATGAACATTACAATGCACGCAACACTCAGGTCTGGAACAGGACTGCAGTCCAGAAGTGGACGAACAACCAGAACTTTTCGCCGGAGTTTACAGCCGGTGAACGAGAAAAAGGAGAAGAATTAAAAAAATACTCTCAAAAATACTCCTTGTCCATATCAAAGTGCCACTGAATGTTCTCCTGCAGCGACCTGGAGAGGGTCAAGGAGGGTACAGGGGACAAGCTTGGACTAGCCGTCCAGTTCCTGGCTCAGTTCGTGGCCGGATTTGTCGTCGGCTTCATCCGCGGCTGGAAGCTGACCTTGGTAATGATGTCCTTGACCCCGGTGTTGGCTATCATTTCCGGGATTTTAGGACGGGTAAACGAATTGCAGTCTGTGTACTGGCTACTGTTTTTGTTTAAATCAGTTGTTGCTGATTTTTGTTGCGGTTGTTTTAACTGTTATTGCTGTTTAATGCTGCTGATATTGTTTTTAAAGTTCTTATTGTTGTAGACGAATGTTAGAAGCTGTTGTTGTTGTTATTTAGGACTGCTGTGGCTTCTGATGTACTGTTGCTGTTGTTTAGAGGCCTTGTTTTTATTGTATAAAGCTGTTGTTGGTGTCGTTAGAAACTGTTGGTGTTGTCTAAATCTGTTTCGCTGCTGATGCTTTGTTGTTGCTCTTGTTTAAAGCTGTTGTTGTTTGAAGCTATTGTTGTTTAAAGCTGTTGTTGTTTAAAGCTTTTGTTGTTGTTTAAAGCTGCTGTCGTTTAAAGCTGTGGTTGCTATTGTTTGAAACTGTTGTTGTTGCTATTGTTTGAATATGATGGTGTTGTTGTTTAAATCTGTTGTGTTGTTGTTTAAAGCTGTTGTTAGTTTTGTTGTTTAAATCTGTTGTTGTTGTTGTTGTTGTTAAAAGCTGTTGTTGGGGTTGTTGTTGAAAGCTGTTGGTGTTGTTGTTTAAATGTGTTGTTAGTGTTGTTGTTTAAACCATTTGTTGGTATTGTTGTTAAAACCTGTTGTTGATGTTGTTATTTAAACCTGTTGTTTGTGTTGCTGTTTAAAGATGATGTTGGTGTTGTTGTTCTTTTCCTACTGCTACTGCTGCTGCTGCTGGCACTTCTTCTTTTTCTTCTTCTTGTCATTCGCAGTCGTCGTCGTTGTCTCTGCTTCTTCCTTCTCTAACTGACCACGGCCTTCTCTATTTATCTAGAGAAGGCGGTGAACTGACACACTAGACGATGATTTAAACTTTTCTTACCATACTGAGAAGTGAACCTTGCTGCAGGAGCAGGTAAACTTCGACGCATGACCAACTGGATACGTGTATAAAGTATCATCATTTGCCAGGTCTGTTATGCATCCGGAAGGCACAACTGTACCAATAGCTGTTAGTTTATTTTACTAGACTGTGTTTAACTAGACTGTGTTTAACTAGACTGTGTTTAACTAGAATGTGTTTAACTAGACTGTGTTTAACTAGAATGTGTTTAACTAGAATGTGTTTAACTAGACTGTGTTTAACTAGACTGTGTTTAACTAGACTGTGTTTAACTAGAATGTGTTTAACTAGACTGTGTTTAACTAGACCGTGTTTAACTAGACTGTGTTTAACTAGAATGTGTTTAACTAGACTGTGTTTAACTAGACTGTGTTTAAATAGACTGTGTTTAAATAGACTGTGTTTAACTAGGTTTGATGGGGTGAAGAACGTCTTTGCTGTCGTCGAGGTGAAGACAAGAGATATTTTAATTACCTTCTCGAAAAAACATTCAGTTGAAGTACCTTGGAGTAGCTGTTCGATCTGAGGACTGAGCTCGCTTAGGAATGCCCAGTGCGTAGTGACTTTGATTTTGGTAACAAATGAAGTCGTTCCATTTATGTCTCTTTTCATTATGTCTATATTGATCCCTTCATTGTAAAAATTCCCGTGTATGTTTCTACTTTATTCGTTGAATCTAATTACCCCATCAAACCTGTTGTTTCTACTCCGGTTATATCTGCTTTTGTGAATCCGTCTGCTTCTATTGTCGTTACGTCAATGAAGTAATAAAATATATCACTTGACTGCACTTCTGCTCCCGTTATATCTGCTTCTCTGAACTTGTCTGCATCTATTGTCCTTGCGTCAGTAAAAAAGATAAATATATCACTTGGCTGCACATCTGCTCCTGTTATATCTGCTTCTATAAACTTGTCTGCATCTATTGTCCTTGCGTCAATAAAGAAGATAAAGCTATCACTTGACTGCCCCCACAGCTGGTGGCCACCTACAGCGCCAGAGAGCAGCAGCTGTACGCCAGCGCTGGAGCCATCGCCGAAGAGGTCATCTCCTGCATCAGAACGGTCATCTCGTTTAACGGGCATTCTCGGGAACTGCACAGGTCAGTGGTGATCCAATCAAGGAAATATTCAAATTTTTATTTTGTCTGCATCACCAGTATTGTGAATAAAAATATCATTATCATTATTGTGAATAACAATATCATCATCAATATCATTATCAGTATCAGCATTTATCATCATCATTATTATCATCATCATCTAAACACTTGTCATCCTCATCATCTTTACCATCATCATCCTAATTATCATCAACATCCTTATCCTAACCAACACAACCATCAAACCTCGGACGTGGTCATGTGACGATGTGCCCCTCATTATCATTTTTGTCACGTGACGATGTGCCCCTCATCATCATTTTTGTCACGTGACGATGTGCCCCTCATTATCACCCTTGTCAGGTGACGATGTGCTCCTCATTATCGTTCTCGTCAGGTGGCGAAGTGCGCATTATTACCACTTTTGTCAGGTGACGATAAGCTCCTCATTACCATTTTTGTTAGGTGACGACGTGCTGTTGTGAGCAATATATAGATATAAAAAAAAAAAATTTCAATCTCTTGGGAGTATAGTCCATGTATGTACAAATTTATACCCTTGGGGTTCATATTAAAACTTACTCTGGTAATATGTAAATTTGACATCAGACGGTTAGGTTCACGATAGTCTCCACAAATAGAGTAGGTCACTTATCTTTCACAACTTTGTTGGGCTGGTCGACTTTCCTGAAGGTCACGGGTGTGTCCCGCTCTATTGTTTTCTTTCTGCGTTGTCTTGCATTTAAGTTTTCATTCCAAAAAGAGGATGCCTGTGACATAGGTTGCAGAACTCTATATGTGTGTGTGTGCGGGGGGGGGGGGTGAGGTGTAAGGCCCACTTTCTCCATGTTGTGTGTGTGTTAAAAGCCCTGGCGTCCTGAAATATACAACATGCGATATCAACAGCATTGAGGAACACCCTCGCAACCTTGTGACAAGGTGACAGGTTCAGGAACTTCTAATCGGAAGTAAGCTTGTGTGTATATGGTATGGGGCAAGGCGTGGAAAGACTAACGTTACTTTCATTAATGAATATGAACTACGGTCTACGGTCTTCATGAAGCCATCAGGAAGTGCACGTGGAGATGGTGAACTGTTGGTTTATATTAGAGGCAGTGTACTCCACGAAGTTGGAGAAGCAGGACTCCACAACGTCGGAGAGAAAAGACGCATCATCCGAAGTCCGTGAGAGCAGACGTTGTTTTTGAGAGACGCCACTGTACGGCCGTGTCACCAGCTCTGTGGGCTCTGTGGGCGTGTGTTGGTATAGGTTCTAGTCTGAGTGTTGCCAGACCAGTATGTATGCACCTATCTGTCACGCTGGGTGACGGAGTCTAGTGTTGGTGTGATCTGCGGGAGTTGCCGCAGTAACAATGTTCCAGCCTATTGGGTTCGCGATCAGAGGTATTAAGGATACCCTGAGGTCACGTGACTGGCCGCAGATGGAAGGTCCGGATGGTTCTTCGCAAAAGATTGTGCCTGGCCTGTATGTTCTCTAGTGACAGCATCTCTAAGGTCTAGGGACTTGCCAGAGTGACAGTCACGTTAACCACGAAGGTGGATCTGTGAGATCAGGTACTGATAGCCCGTAGAAGCCATAGAACATAGTCCTTCCTGTTAGTGTCGTGAGTGTTTTACATGCGCGGAAGAGAAAGTGACTGTAGTATTGTGTATTCATCAGGCATCGTCATGTGAGCCATTTCATCACAGCTGTGTCTGAATACAGTGTATAAGTTCTGTATTCAGAGTATCACTGACATCAGAAGGAGACAGTCATCATTTTTCGGCCATGTTATGAGAAGAGGGAAAATAGAACATGTTGTGACCACTGGAAAGATCTGTGAAAGGAGGGATAGAGGAAGACAACGAGAGAAGATGCTTGACAGTCTTGTTGCATGGCATGGAGGTGTGTCGGCACACGAACTGATACATGCTGCAGGAGATCGCGGATTATGGAGAGGCATGATCGCCCACGCCAGTCGGCAAGGCACCTGATGATGATGATGATGATGGTGATTCAGAGTATCTGTTACTGTTGGCTTGGAGCAGTGGCTTGTGACTGCCGACACTATTACACCAACCCTTGACACTTTGGCAAGTGTGTGTGTGTGTGTGTGTGTGTGTGTGTGTGTGTGTGTCCCTGCTGCAGTTCAAGTGTGCAGAGGGCCTGCTCCCATATTACCAAGTTGTCACGTGACGGTGTGCCCCTCTTTACATTATACAAAGAACGGAAAAGATGGGGGTGGGGTATGGGGGAGGGGGGTTACCAGAAACCTGCATTTTTTTGTTAATCTTATGTTGCTAGAACAGCATAGGGACAGGATATGAGGAGGTCAAGTTTATGAGGCAAGGATGTTGACGATGAGGATGATTTTGATGATGATTAAGATGATGATACCACTGTAATCATGTATTATATTGAGCGCTTAAACTTACGTAATATCTTTGGTCACACAGCCTGCATACATAACACAGCCTGCATACATAACACAGACTGCATACATAACACAGCCTGCATACATAACACAGCCTGCATACATAACACAGCCTGCATACATAACACAGCCTGCATACATAACACAGCCTGCATACATAACACAGCCTGCATACATAACACAGCCTGCATACATAACACAGCCTGCATACAAGGAGTTAGATGTATAATTAAACAAATCATACTGAAGAATTTCTTTCTTTTATGAATCCTAGAGGGAATCTTTCCCTGAATTTCGCAACGTCTCCCTCACACTGGACAGTTATCATCACTCCAGCGTCTCCCTCTGACTAGACAGTTATCATCACTCAAGTGTCTCTCTTAGACTGGACAGTTATTATCACTCAAGCGTCTCTCTTAGACTGGACAGTTATCATCACTCAAGCGTCTCTCTTAGACTGGACAGTTATCATCACTCAAGCGTCTCTCTTAGACTGGACAGTTATTATCACTCAAGCGTGTCCCTCAGACTAAACAGTTATCATCACTCAAGCGTCTCCCTCAGACTAGACAGTTATCATCACTCAAGCGTCTCTCTTAGACTGGACAGTTATCATCACTCAAGCGTCTCCCTCAGACTAGACAGTTATCATCACTCAAGCGTCTCTCTCAGACTAGACAGTTATCATCACTCAAGCGTCTCTCTCAGACTAGATAGTTATCATCACTCAAGCGTCTCTCTCAGACTAGACAGTTATCCTCACTCAAGCGTGTCTCTCAGACTAGACAGTTATCATCACTGCAGCGCCTCTCTTAGACTGGACAGTTATCATCACTTGAGCGTCTCTCTCAGACTGGACAGTTATCATCACTTGAGCGTCTCTCTCAGACTGGACAGTTATGATCACTCAAGTGCCTCTCTTAGACTGGACAGTTATCATCACTCAAGTGCCTCTCTTAGACTGGACAGTTATCATCACTCAAGTGCCTCTCTTAGACTGGACAGTTATCATCACTCAAGTGCCTCTCTTAGACTGGACAGTTATCATCACTCAAGTGCCTCTCTTAGACTGGACAGTTATCATCACTCAAGCGCCTCTCTTAGACTGGACAGTTATCATAACTTAAGCGTCTCTCTTAGACTGGACAGTTATCATCACTCAAGCGTCTCTCTTAGACTGGACAGTTATCATCACTCAAGCGTCTCTCTTAGACTGGACAGTTATCATCACTCAAGCGTCTCTCTTAGACTGGACAGTTATCATCACTTAAGCGTCTCTCTTAGACTGGACAGTTATCATCACTCAAGTGCCTCTCTTAGATTGGACAGTTATCATCACTCAAGTGCCTCTCTTAGACTGGACAGTTATCATCACTCAAGTGCGTCTCTTAGACTGGACAGTTATCATCACTCAAGCGCCTCTCTTAGACTGGACAGTTATCATCACTCAAGCGCCTCTCTTAGACTGGACAGTTATCATCACTCAAGCGTCTCTCTTAGACTGGACAGTTATCATCACTCAAGCGTCTCTCTTAGACTGGAGAGTTATCATCACTCAAGTGCCTCTCTCAGACTGGACAGTTATCATCACTCAAGTGGCTCTCTCAGACTGGACAGTCATCATCACTCAAGCGTCTCTCTCAGACTGGACAGTTATCATCACTTAAGCGTCTCTCTTAGAATGGACAGTTATCATCACTCAAGCGTCTCTCTTAGACTGGACAGTTATCATCACATAAGCGTCTCTCTTAGACTGGACAGTTATCATCACTCAAGCGTCTCTCTTAGACTGGACAGTTATCATCACTCAAGCGCCTCTCTTAGACTGGACAGTTATCATCACTCAAGCGTCTCCCTCAGACTGGACAGTTATCATCACTCAAGCGTCTCTCTTAGACTGGACAGTTATCATCACTCAAGCGTCTCTCTTAGACTGGACAATTATCATCACTCAAGCGCCTCTCTTAGACTGGACAGTTATCATCACTCAAGTGCCTCTCTTATACTGGACAGTTATCATCACTCAAGCGTCTCTCTTAGACTGGACAGTTATCATCACTCAAATGCCTCTCTTAGACTGGACAGTTATCATCACTCAAGCGTCTCTCTTAGACTGGACAGTTATCATCACTGTGACAACGGCTAGTCCTCTTGATCTGATAATGGATCGTTCAAGAACAGGACGGACACTGTTCTCGAGATCTGCCATCTGCGAGCACCTTCTGGATTTCAACGACGATAGCTCGTATACCGTGACGTGTCCATGTCTGGCGGAGATTCTTTTCTCTCACAATCTATCTGAGTATGATACTAATGAGAACACATAGGGAAGGCGTGGTTCTTGGAGAAAGAGGCAGGGGTTGAGCAACGTGGCAATGGACTCGGAACAGCCTCGGCGTCAAATGCACGAGGCGAGAAGGTTTCTAAAGGGACTGAGTGACTTTCCAGGTTGCCATGATGAGAGCTATCACATGCAGAGGACTTGCTACATTATTATTATTATATTATTATTATTATTTTTATTTATTTTTATTTATATTGCTATTGTTATTGACCGTGAGCACTGTACTGCCATCTACAGATACGGCGTTGCCTTGGAGGGATGCAAGAAGTTGGGGATAAGAAAATCTGTGTTTGCGGGCCTTAGCGTGGGTTTGTTGTTCCTGGCTATGTTCGCAGCCTACGGACTGGCCTTCTGGTTAGTTGATGGTGTTGCTGAATTATGTCTATGTTCACATACACACACACACATACACACACACACATGTTTCACTTATATCAATCTGTATCATGTGTGACACAATAAATAAATAAGGAAATACAGGATAACACAAACATTATAGAAGCCAATTGAGAATAACTCAGTAATGTGGGAGATGTACAGAAACAGTTTGGTTTGGACACACAGGAACACATTTCACCGAAGAATAAGGAAATGAGATGTAAAAATTAAAATCACTTGCGATTCAGTAAACCGAAAATAAATTTTTAGGACAGTTTAGGACATCTAGTGTTCTCCCCTCTCCCCTACCCCACTCCCCATTTTGTCATCATTTTTAATATCATTTTAGAATACGCAGAGCCCAAAGAAATATCTTATACAAAGCCTTTTTATTCCCACGCCATGCTACCAGTGCCAAACATGATCACTCACGATAAACTTGACTTTGATCTTGTTCTTGGGTTTGAGTTTTGTGTGTACATCCGTTTCACAGATTTGGCTAACATGTATGCTGTTGGTTTTTCGCCTCTCACGCCAATGCATTTAGACTTCAAAGGAAACACCATGTTAGTCTCTTTTATTAACATGCTTATTAGATAACAGTGTCTCTATGCTCCCTCCTTCCCCCTCCCATCCCCCTACCCCTCCCCCATTCAGAGCACTAAAACCCCAACGGGAAACGACAATGTTAACACTACCACGTTTTTTGGCTCCACCCACATTAACGACTGCATAACTCTTCCACTATAACTTTGGCTCCACACATAGTAACGACTATTACCCCTTCCACCAAAAGTTTGGCTCCACCCACAGTAACGACTACATAACTCTTCCACTATAAGTTTGGCTCCACCCACAGTAACGACTGCATAATATTTCCACCATAAGTTTGGCTCCACTCACAGTAACGACTGCATAACTCTTCCACTATAAGTTTGGCTCCACCCATAGTAACGACTATTACCCCTTCATCCAAAAGTTTGGCTCCACCCACAGTAACGACTACATAACTCTTCCACTATAAGTTTGGCTCCACTCACAGTAACGACTGCATAACTCTTCCACTATAAGTTTGGCTCCACCCATAGTAACGACTATTACCCCTTCAACCAAAAGTTTGGCTCCACCCACAGTAACGACTACATAACTCTTCCACTATAAGTTTGGCTCCACCCACAGTAACGACTATTACCCCTTCCACTATAAGTTTGGCTCCACCCACAGTAACGACTACATAACTCTTCCACTATAAGTTTGGCTCCACCCACAGTAACGACTGCATAATATTTCCACCATAAGTTTGGCTCCACTCACAGTAACGACTGCATAACTCTTCCACTATAAGTTTGGCTCCACCCATAGTAACGACTATTACCCCTTCAACCAAAATTTTGGCTCCACCCACAGTAACGACTACATAACTCTTCCACTATAAGTTTGGCTCCACTCACAGTAACGACTGCATAACTCTTCCACAATAAGTTTGGCTCCACCCATAGTAACGACTATTACCCATTCAACCAAAAGTTTGGCTCCACCCACAGTAACGACTACATAACTCTTCCACTATAAGTTTGGCTCCACCCACAGTAACGACTATTACCCCTTCCACTATAAGTTTGGCTCCACCCACAGTAACGACTACATAACTCTTCCACTATAAGTTTGGCTCCACCCACAGTAACGACTGCATAATATTTCCACCATAAGTTTGGCTCCACTCACAGTAACGACTGCATAACTCTTCCACTATAAGTTTGGCTCCACCCATAGTAACGACTATTACCCCTTCAAAACCAAAATTTTGGCTCCACCACAGTAACGACTACATAAACTCTTCCACTATAAGTTTGGCTCCACTCACAGTAACGACTGCATAACTCTTCCACAATAAGTTTGGCTCCACCCATAGTAACGACTATTACCCATTCAACCAAAAGTTTGGCTCCACCCACAGTAACGACTACATAACTCTTCCACTATAAGTTTGGCTCCACCCACAGTAACGACTATTACCCCTTCCACTAGAAGTTTGGCTCCACCCACAGTAACGACTATTACCCCTTCCACCAAGAGTTTGGCTCCACCCACAGTAACGACTATTACCTCTTCCACCACAGGTTTGGCTCCACTCACAGTAACGACTGCATAACTCTTCCACTATAAGTTTGGCTCCACCCACAGTAACGACTATTAACTCTTCCACCAAAAGTTTGGCTCCACCCATAGTAACGACTACATAACTCTTCCACCACAGGTTTGGCTCCACCCACAGTAACGACTACATAGTTCTTCAACCATAGGTTTGGCTCCACCCAAAGTAAGGACTACATATTTCTTTACCCATAGGTTTGGCTCCACCCACAGAAACGACTACATAGTTTTTCAACCATAGGTTTGGCTCCACCCACAGTAACGACTACATAGCTCTTCAACCATAGGTTTGGCTCCACCACAGTAACGACTACATAGCTCTTCGACGATAGGTTTGGCTCCACTTAGGGTAACGACTGCATCACTCTCTCACCACAGATTTGGTTCGTGTACAGTGATAAGTACAAAGTTTTTTCCAACACAGGTTTGGCTCTACCCAGGTGAACGACTACTACAACAGTAATGGAGAAGATGGCCTGTCCCCCGGCGCCATCCTGAGCGTGTTTTTCTGTGTCATGGCCGGATCGTTTGCACTAGGAGGTGCTTCGCCTCACATCACCTCGATCCTCACAGCCAAAGGAGCTGCAGGAACTATCTACTCAATCATCGAAGATGTAAGCTGGTTTAGACAAGTCTTTTTTTTTTCTGGTAGGTGATGTGGAAACTATCTACTCAGTCATCAGAGATGTCAACTGGTTGAGACAAGTCAGGTCTGTTTTAGGAGGTGCTGCAGTTACAATCTGCCCAATTATCAGAGATGTCAGTCAGTCCTGTTCTGGCAAGCCCCTTTAGCCAAAATCCTGACCGCCACCCTAAGCTGTTTCTAATGAGGCGTGTTTCTTAAAACTGATCTAGGGTTTCCATGTCCACCAGCCTAACAACTGGCAGAAAGTAGTGGGATGGGAAGCAGATTTCGGCCGGTCTAACGTAAATTGCAACCACTGAGCCCTGATCCAACTGTAAACCTGTGTTTAGTGTTTAGCATCTTTTTCTGGTTACACCAGTCGCTTGAATTGAGTCCTTTCATGTTATCGTCATCATTTTTATTACTTTTTAGAAGGATTTTAATCAGTTTTCTGGACATAATTCTACATGCCAGACCTACTTGGTTTGGTTAAGTTGCTTTCAACAAGTCTACTGAACATAATTCTACATGCCAGACCTATCTGACAAATGCATCCATACTTCAAAAACTGAATATTGAAGAAGATTAGTTATTAAAAACAATACACAGAAAACTGAAATATTTTGGTCACTTGAAACGTCACGAAAGTTTAGAGAGAACAATAATGGAGTTATGTGCCTGGGAAGAGAGGAAGAGGAAGGCTGAAGAGAAGATGGGCGCAGGATGTGGCAGATGATCTCCAGATGGTGTATCGGGACATTAGCTTGTAATCGAGGTTTTTAGAGGGTTATTATGGGAGCAAGGCTCTGCAAAGGACATTCTATTGAGTAATTTTTAAACTGCAGTTACAACATTCTTCTCATCTCTGGTATCGTCTATACCTGTATATTTATGTGGTCACTGCACGGCATTTTTTCTAATTTATTACAAAAAAATAACTTTTTTTTTAATGGGACAGCTTTATTTAAATGTGTATTTTAGAATATATACCTGTATATTTATTTGTTGTTGTTTTTTTTTTTTTTTTTTTTTTTGGCAGCTACAAGATTCCCATCTCTGATCTCGGCAATACTTGTGTATTTGTGTGTTTTTGCTGTATCCTTTCACTTTGATTTTATTTGCTGTATTTTTTCACTTCTTATTTCAAACCTTTCTTTCTTCAAATGCGAATCCTTTGATCATATCCTAAAGCTTAATTTCTCCTCAGACATATACGTCTGTAGTAATATATAAACAGACAATCTGTTATTCCGCCCTCATAGAAAGAAGTAGAAAGATAAAAGGACGCACATTGTTTGTAACATCGGTTCTTAGCCTGCCGGTCTCGATCCTCTAGTGCGTCGAGCGACCCTTTCACGTGGGTCGCCTAAAAGCATCAAACAACACATATTTATTGAAGTTATGAAGGAAAATAAGTGTTTGGGAGTCACCACAACATGAGGGAACCTTTTTAAAGTGTGGCTGCATTAATAAGTTTGAGAGCCACTGGTTTATTATATAAAATGTTTCGAATTTCTCAAGTGCTGTCCCTTTGTTTATCTGTCTGTAGTAAGTAGAGCTTTATGTGTGTGCAGACAGACATTTGAGCTCAAACATAAATCCCAGATACACGTTGAACCAACTAGTAAGTTATAATTAGGTCACCCGTAACAGCGACAGTAGCCAGGTGTGTCGCCTGCAGTCATGTGTGAGTATGGAGTTAAGAAAAGGCAGTCGGAGTGATGATGATTGCATGACTGATCCAGTCAACAGACAGCAGATGACAAAGGTCGGTGAGCAAGATGATGGGGCAGGAGAGGGTCATCGACTGCGGGCGAACAGGTACTGGAAAAGGCAAACACTGACGATAGGAACTAAAGGAGGAGGAGGAGGAGGAAGAGGAGGAGGAGGCAGAAGAAGAAGAGGAGGAGGGGGGAGAAGAAGAAGAAGAAGAAGAAGAAGAAGAAGAAGAAGAAGAAGAAGAAGAAGAAGAAGAAGAAGAAGAAGAAGAAGAAGAAGAAGAAGAAGAAGAAGAAGAAGAAGAAGAAGGAGAAGAAGAAGAAGAAGAAGAAGAAGAAGAAGAAGAAGAAGAAGAAGAAGAAGAAGAAGAACAAGAAGAACAAGAAGAACAAGAAGAAAATGAAGGTAAGCACGACGACAAGGAGAAAATGAGAGGAATAAAGAGAGGTAAAGAAGACTGACTGAATGGAGCAACTAGGTCGAACACGGAGGTAGAGACAATGAAGATAACACGGAGGTAGAGACAATGAAGATAACACGGAGGTAGAGACAATGAAGATAACACGGAGGTAGAGACAATGAAGATAACACGGAGGTAGAGACAATGAAGATAACACGAAGGCAATGATAATGGATACCAGAAGAAGATATACAGCACAGGGGATATGATAGACCAAACGAAGAGATGTGTTTTGTTAATAATCACTTTAGGTCAAGTCGTTGTCAGCGTATGTTTGATACATCTTGTAGACCTCCGGAACATTATTGCTGAAACTGTATATCTTCTATACTTAGTCTGTATTGTGACGGTTCAACGGTTGTTTACAAGCATTTTTGTTTTATTCATCTCTTCTTTAGCAACCAGTAATTGATTCGTCAAGTCGCCATGGCCAGATACCCACAGAGATCAAAGGCCATATTCAGTTTAGAAACGTGGAATTTGCTTACCCTACTCGCAAGGATTCTACGGTAATGTTCGCTTCTTGAGCCATCTTGTCAAGTTGTGTAGCAATAGAGCCAGCCTTCTAGTCCCCTTCTCCCTCTTCCTCGTTTCTTTCTGTGTTAGCCATAGACAGGACGATATTAGTGTTGTGATGGGGTTTACAGCAAGACTGCGATATCTGCGCTCACAAGACATGAAACAGAGCTCCTGAAGGGGCAGAAAAAAGGAGGGGGGGGGAATTGATGGAGGAGGGGCGGATTTAGGATCAAAGTAGCCATTTTCTTAAAGGTCAAAATTCAAATGTATAATGGGATAATACGCTCCTGCTATTTTATTAATTGGTTAGTACTTATCACATGACTATCACATGATCATGTTCAACAGGCGCAGTGACGCAAGATGTGGCAGGAAAGTTTTTTTTTTTTTTTTTTATGAGCTTCTTCTTTTTAATCGATCAAACTTGTTATTTTTTATTTTTTTATTTGCACTAAAGCAGGCACAGTTTTTTATACAAAGTGTTCAGATAACATGTGGTTTGTGCCTAAGGTGCTCAAGAATTGTACATATGTATTATGTAGTTTCTGAACTCAGAGGATCTCAGATAGCAAGTATATTTCTTTCGTGTACCACCAGGCAACCTGTTCAACCCTGGCCTAGATTTGGTCTATCGTCTTCTAGTCATGTAGGTAATGGTTCATTCCAGAGACGTCATCAGTGTAGATCTTCTAAGTGACTAGACAATGGGGATGTTGAGAACATAAGCCTGACAAATGAAGTATCGATAATAATCATACTGATAACAGTAATACTGATATGTGGCCATGGTGTAGCCTGCGGATCCGAAAGTCATGGGTTCAAATCCGCACCAAGTCGGAGTTTTTTTTTTTTTTTCAAACAACCTTGGCTACCACGTCGACCCAGTTTTAAATGGGCACCAGGTAAAGTACTGGGAAATAAAGGCGACCGGCGTAAAGTTGACCGCAAAGTGTAATTGTTCTATAAAATAGAGGGCAAGCCGCATGTGCCCCATAAACCTGAAGGAGTGGATAAGGGTGCTGACTTACAAATGGTAATGGCAACAATTATAGCATCAATACTTCTTGTAATCCATCATCGGCTTAGGCGGTGCGAACGAGCTTCGTAATGTCGGGGTGCCGGGTTCAATCCTAGCTGCGGGCCTTGTGTTGGTTTCAACAGTGGTATCGAGAAGCCGACGTCCAGACACCAATGGCAAACTACTGGACGTAAATTTGCCTAGAAAACAAAGAACAGCCAAAACATGCTTTGGTTGGTTCTGCAACGTCCTGTAAAGGATGCGCAACTAAAAAAAAAAATTATGAAATACCCGATGTAACGACGCATATCTCTAACAATGCAATGGCTGTTTGATGCATGTGTTGACGCATACCTCTAACAATGTAATGGCTGTTTGATGCATGTGTTGACGCATACCTCTAACAATGCAATGGCTGTTTGATGCATGTGTTGACGCATACCTCTAACAATGCAATGGCTGTTTGATGCAGGTGTTGACGCATATCTCTAACAATGCAATGGCTGTTTGATGCATGTGTTGACGCATACCTCTAACAATGTAATGGCTGTTTGATGCAGGTGTTGACGCATACCTCTAACAATGCAATGGCTGTTTGATGCATGTGTTGACGCATACCCCTAACAATGCAATGGCTGTTTGATGCAGGTGTTGACGCATATCTCTAACAATGCAATGGCTGTTTGATACAGGTGTTGACGCATATCTCTAACAATGCAATGGCTGTTTGATGCAGGTGTTGACGCATATCTCTAACAATGCAATGGCTGTTTGATGCATGTGTTGACGCATACCTCTAACAATGCAATGGCTGTTTGATGCATGTGTTGACGCATACCTCTAACAATGCAATGGCTGTTTGATGCAGGTGTTGACGCATATCTCTAACAATGCAATGGCTGTTTGATACAGGTGTTGACGCATATCTCTAACAATGCAATGGCTGTTTGATGCAGGTGTTGACGCATATCTCTAACAATGCAATGGCTGTTTGATACAGGTGTTGACGCATACCTCTAACAATGTAATGGCTGTTTGATACAGGTGTTGACGCATATCTCTAACAATGCAATGGCTGTTTGATGCAGGTGTTGACGCATATCTCTAACAATGCAATGGCTGTTTGATACAGGTGTTGACGCATATCTCTAACAATGCAATGGCTGTTTGATACAGGTGTTGACGCATATCTCTAACAATGCAATGGCTGTTTGATACAGGTGTTGACGCATATCTCTAACAATGCAATGGCTGTTTGATACAGGTGTTGACGCATATCTCTAACAATGCAATGGCTGTTTGATACAGGTGTTGACGCATATCTCTAACAATGCAATGGCTGTTTGATACAGGTGTTGACGCATATCTCTAACAATGCAATGGCTGTTTGATACAGGTGTTGACGCATATCTCTAACAATGCAATGGCTGTTTGATACAGGTGTTGACGCATATCTCTAACAATGCAATGGCTGTTTGATACAGGTGTTGCAGAACTTGACTCTAGACATCCGACCCGGAGAGACTGTTGCTCTAGTGGGCGCTAGTGGCTGTGGGAAGTCGACTGTTGTCAACCTGATCCAGCGCTTCTATGATCCCCAGGCCGGCAAGGTAGGAAAGAATGCAGACTGCACCCCCCTCCTCTGCCAAAGTCCACATCGGGATCATGTGCTAAATTCATAGTCTGATATACCAGTGGGAACTTCAAGGCTGACAATGTGCTAGATTTCCCACTGTTACAGATGCAATCAACACAAGGATTGATGTTGCCAGATCTACACTCGGAGCTTCCTTCTGGCTCCTGACATCTGCATGTCAAGGGATCTATAGTTGAACGATGCCCCTCGTAACAAGTACAGAAGGTATTGATCCAGAAGGTACAGAAGGTATTGATCCAGAAGGTACAGAAGGTCCAATCTTCCACGGACTGGACGAGAGTGTCTTGCGTCCAATATAATCATGTCACCCACATCCAACATAATTTATTCCAATTCCAGAAATTAGTTATTCATAACACAACCAACTGACGAATCAAAGATTAGTAGACTGTCAATACATTATCGTGGTCACTCTAGAATTATAGGGAAATTGTTTTACTCACGGCCCAGGCGGTGGATATATGAATAGCGAGTTCAACAGCAACAACATATAACCAACTTCCTTAGCCAGACTACGTGAGCGAACTATAGTTCTATTCTGAATCAATCACATGGAATATAATAATCTCATTCAACATACGTTTATTTTCCTAAATACAAAACTAGCGAGCTTCGCAGATAATAATATATGAACAATCAACAATGTGTCGGAGCAGGCGTTGTTGGGATAGTTCTTACGGAAGGCCCGATGACTATTATTTCTCGTCCTTATATATTGTTACACACACACACACACACACACACACACACACACACACATAAACACACACACACACACATACATGCTATGAAGTAAAATAGTAACATGTTTTCACATTTTTGTGCAGTATTCTGTTTACTGAACAGAATCTATACTCATCAGCAGTATCTCAGCAACACCATAATATCTCATCAACAACATAATATCTCATCAACAACATAATATCTCATCAACAACATAATATTTCATCAACATCATAATATCTCAGCAACAACATAATATCTCAGCAACAACATAATATCTCATCAACAACATATTATCTCATCAACAACATAATATCTCATCAACAACATAATATCTCATCAACAACATATTATCTCAGCAACAACATAATATCTCAGCACCAACATATTGTCTCAGCAACAACATAATATCTCATCAACAACATAATATCTCAGCAACACCATAATATCTCAGCAACACCATAATATCTCATCAACAACATAATATCTCATCAACAACATAATATCTCATCAACAACATAATATCTCATCAACAACATAATATCTCAGCAATAACATATTATCTCAGCAACAACATAATATCTCATCAACAACATAATATCTCATCAACAACATAATATCTCAGCAACAACATATTATCTCAGCAATAATATAATATCTCATCAACAACATAATATCTCATCAACAACATATCTCATCAACAACATAATATCTCAGCAATAACATATTGTCTCAGCAACAACATAATATCTCATCAACAACATAATATCTCATCAACAACATAATATCTCAGCAACAACATATTATCTCAGCAATAACATATTGTCTCAGCAACAACATAATATCTCATCAACAACATAATATCTCATCAACAACATAATATCTCAGCAACAACATATTATCTCAGCAACAACATATTATCTCAGCAACAACATAATATCTCATCAACAATATATTATCTCAGCAACAACATATTATCTCAGCAACAACATATTATCTCAGCAACAACATATTATCTCAGCAACAACATATTATCTCAGCAACAATATAATATCTCAGAAGCAACTTATTATTTAAGAAACTAAATATTATTTCAGCAAAAAGATATTATCTCAGGAAAATCATGTTACCCCAGGAAAATCATAATATCTCAGCAACAACATATTACCTTAGCATAAACCTGTCTCCTCAGCTACAACATGTCATCTTAGCAACAAAATTCTTTCTCGGCAACAACATATTTTCTCAGCAGTAACATTTTATCTTAGCAACAACATTTTATCTCAGCAACAACATTTTTTCTCGGCAACAACATGTCATCTCAGCAACAAAATATTATCTCAGCAACAACCTTTTTTCTCGGCAACAAAATATTATCTCAGCAACAAAATATTATCTCAGCAACAACTTTTTTTCTCGGCAACAAAATATTATCTCAGCAACAAAATATTATCTCAGCAACAACCTTTTTTCTCAGCAACAAAATATTATCTCAGCAACAACCTTTTTTCTCAGCAACAAAATATTTTCTCAGCAACAACATGTCATCTCAGCAACAAAATATTATCTCAGCAACAAAATATTATCTCAGCAACAACCTTTTTTCTCAGCAACAAAATATTATCTCAGCAACAACCTTTTTTCTCAGCAACAACATGTCATCTCAGCAACAAAATATTATCTCAGCAACAAAATATTATCTCAGTAACAAAATAGTATCTCAGCAACAAAATATCATCTCAACAACATGTCATCTCAGCAACAAAATATTATCTCAGCAACAAAATATTATCTCAGCAACAATCTTTTTTTCTCGGCAACAAAATATTATCTCAGCAACAAAATATTATCTCAGCAACAAAATATTATCTCAGCAACAAAATATCATCTCAGTAACAACCTTTTTTCTCGGCAACAAAATATTATCTCAGCAACAAAATATTATCTCAGCAACAAAATATTATCTCAGCAACAACCTTTTTTCTCGGCAACAACATGTCATCTCAGCAACAAAATATTATCTCAGCAACAAAATATTATCTCAGCAACAACCTTTTTTTCTCGGCAACAAAATATTATCTCAGCAACAAAATATTATCTCAGCAACAAAATATCATCTCAGCAACAACCTTTTTTCTCGGCAACAAAATATTATCTCAGCAACAAAATATTATTTCAGCAACAACCTTTTTTCTCAGCAACAACATGTCATCTCAGCAACAAAATATTATCTCAGCAACAAAATATTATCTCAGCAACAACCTTTTTTTCTCGGCAACAAAATATTATCTCAGCAACAAAATATTATCTCAGCAACAAAATATTATCTCAGCAACAAAATATTATCTCAGCAACAAAATATTATCTCAGCAACAACCTTTTTTCTCGGCAACATGTTATCTTAGCAACAACAACGTGTTGTCTATACGGTTGCCAAGTAATGACGAACTCAATTAACTGACCAGTCCCCCTCCCTCCCCCCCCCTTTTTCCCCAATTATTTCAGATCCTTGTCGATGGAACTGATGTCCGGGATTTGAACCTCCACTGGCTGCGTGGCAATATTGGAGTCGTGTCCCAAGAACCGGTTCTCTTCGGGATGTCTATAGCTGAGAACATAGCACTCGGCAGGCCAGCCATCAGCTTGCAGCAGATCGAAGCGGCGGCCAAGATGGCTAATGCTCACAGTTTTATAGCAGCTTTACCGGACGTAAGTTTATCATAGAAGTCCTTTTTCTTCCTTTCTTCTTCTTATTCGTCACTGTCTGGACAAATACCCCTGCATTGATTCCACTGTCTGAGTATACCCGTCTGTGTATAACTGTCTGTGTCTAATTGTCTGTGTACAACTGTCTGTGTCTAATTGTCTGTGTATAATTGTCTGTGTCTAATTTTCTGTGTCTAATTGTCTGTGTCTAATTGTCTGTGTCTAATTGTCTGTGTCTAATTTTCTGTGTCTAACTGTCTGCGTCTAATTGTCTGTGTACAACTGTCTGTGTCTAATTGTCTGTGTATAACTGTCTGTGTCTAATTGTCTGTGTACAGCTGTCTGTGTCTAATTGTCTGTGTACAACTGTCTGTGTATAACTGTCTGTGTCTAATTGTCTGTGTATAATTGTCTGTGTCTAATTTTCTGTGTCTAATTGTCTGTGTCTAATTGTCTGTGTACAACTGTCTGTGTCTAATTGTCTGTGTACAACTGTTTGTGTCTAATTGTCTGTGTCTAACTGTCTGTGTCTAATTGTCTGTGTACAACTGTCTGTGTCTAATTGTCTGTGTATAACTGTCTGTGTCTAATTGTCTGTGTCTAACTGTCTGTGTCTAATTGTCTGTGTACAACTGTCTGTCTCTAACTGTCTGTGTATAACTGTCTGTGTCTAATTGTCGGTGTACAATTGTCTGTGTCTAATTGTCTGTGTCTAATTGTCTGTGTCTAATTGTCTGTGTCTAACTGTCTGTGTATAACTGTCTGTGTCTAATTGTCTGTGTCTAACTGTCTGTGTCTAATTGTCTGTGAATAACTGTCTGTATCTAATTGTCTGTGTATACGTGTCTAATTTTCTGTGTATAACTGTCTGTGTCTAATTTTCTGTGTCTAATTGTCTGTGTCTAATTGTCTGTGTACAACTGTCTGTGTCTAATTGTCTGTGAATAACTGTCTGTGTCTAATTGTCTGTGTCTAATTGTCGGTGTATAACTGTCTGTGTATAACTGTAAGTGTCTAATTGTCTGTGTATAACTGTCTGTGTCTAATTGTCGGTGTACAATTGTCTGTGTCTAATTGTCTGTGTCTAATTGTCTGTGTCTAACTGTCTGTGTATAACTGTCTGTGTCTAATTGTCTGTGTCTAACTGTCTGTGTCTAATTGTCTGTGAATAACTGTCTGTGTCTAATTTTCTGTGTCTAATTGTCTGTGTCTAATTGTCTGTGTACAACTGTCTGTGTCTAATTGTCTGTGAATAACTGTCTGTGTCTAATTGTCTGTGTATAACTGTCTGTGTCTAATTGTCTGTGTCTAACTGTCTGTGTCTAATTGTCTGTGTCTAATTGTCTGTGTATAACTGTCTGTGTCTAATTGTCTGTGTATAACTGTCTGTGTCTAATTGTCTGTGTATAACTGTATGTGTCTAATTGTCTGTGTATAACTGTCTGTGTCTAATTGTCTGTGTATAACTGTCTGTGTCTAATTGTCTGTGTATAACTGTCTGTGTCTAATTGTCTGTGTATAACTGTAAGTGTCTAATTGTCTGTGTATAACTGTCTGTGTATAACTGTATGTGTCTAATTGTCTGTGTATAACTGTCTGTGTCTAATTGTCTGTGTATAATTGTCTGTGTACAACTGTGTCTAATTGTCTGTGTATAACTGTCTGTGTCTAATTGTCTGTGAATAACTGTCTGTGTCTAATTGTCTGTGTATAACTGTCTGTGTCTAATTGTCTGTTTCTAACTGTCTGTGTCTAAATGTCTGTGTATAACTGTCTGTGTCTAATTGTCTGTGTATAACTGTCTGTGTCTAATTGTCTGTGTATAACTGTATGTGTATAACTGTATGTGTCTAATTGTCTGTGTATAACTGTCTGTGTCTAATTGTCTGTGTATAACTTTCTGTGTATAACTGTCTGTGTCTAATTGTCTGTGTATAACTGTAAGTGTCTAATTGTCTGTGTATAACTGTCTGTGTATAACTGTATGTGTCTAATTGTCTGTGTATAACTGTCTGTGTCTAATTGTCTGTGTATAATTGTCTGTGTACAACTGTGTCTAATTGTCTGTGTATAACTGTCTGTGTCTAATTGTCTGTGTATAACTGTCTGTGTCTAATTGTCTGTGCATAACTGTATGTGTATAATTGTTTGTGTATAACTGTTTGTGTCTAATTGTCTGTGTATAACTGTGTGTGTCCAATTGTCTGTGTGTAACTGTCTGTGTATAACTGTCTGTGTCTAACTGTCTGTGTCTAACTGTCTGTGTCTAACTGTCTGTGTATAACTGTCTGTGTCCAACTGTCTGTGTCAAACTGTCTGTGTCCAACTGTCTGTGTCCAACTGTCTGTGTCCAACTGTCTGTGTCCAACTGTCTGTGTGTAACTGTCTGTGTCTAACTGTCTGTGTGTAACTGTCTGTGTCTAACTGTCTGTGTCTAACTGTCTGTGTGTAACTGTCTGTGTCCAACTGTCTGTGTCCAACTGTCTGTGTGTAACTGTCTGTGTCCAACTGTCTGTGTCCAACTGTCTGTGTGTAGCTGTCTGTGTTCAACAACTGTCTGTGTGTAATTGTCTGTGTCTAACTGTCTGTGTCTAACTGTCTGTGTGGAACTGTCTGTGTATAACTGTCTGTGTCTAACTGTCTGTGTGTAGAGGCGATAGGGCGACTATTCCAGGGTAGCACCTGCAGCATCAGAAGCCACGGGTTGTCAAGTAGACAACGTCTGTCTGTGGCAGCGATAATGCGGTACAACTGGTTGACACCTGCAGCATCAGAAGCCAAGGGTTGTCAAGTAAACAAAGTCTGTCTGTGGCAGTGATAATGCGGTACAACTGGTTGACACCTGCAGCATCAGAAGCCAAGGGTTGTCAAGTAGACGACGTCTGTCTGTGGCAGCGATAATGCGGTAAAACTGGTTGACACCTGCAGCATCAGAAGCCACGGGTTGTCAAGTAAACAACGTCTGTCTGTGGCAGCGATAATGCGGTACAACTGGTTGACACCTGCAGCATCAGAAGCCAAGGGTTGTCTAGTAGACAACGTCTGTCTGTGGCAGCGATAATGCAGTACAACTGGTTGACACCTGCAGCATCAGAAGCCACGGGTTGTGAAGTAGACGACGCCTGTCTGTGGCAGCGATAATGCGGTACAACTGGTTGACACCTGCAGCACCAGAAGCCACGGGTTGTCAAGTAGACGACGCCTGTCTGTGGCAGCGATAATGCGGTACAACTGGGTAACACCTGTTCACTCAGTCAATCTTTTCTGGGATATGGAATCCAATATGGTTTTACTTTTTGACCACATAAAAGACGCCCACATGAAAAAGATGACCACATGAAAGGCGACCCCATGAAATAAGACCACTGCAAAATGACCAAATTTAAAAAAAAGATTAAACACTTGTATAAGATCATAAGAAACATGACGACTTTAAAGATGACAACTGAAAGATAGCCATGTTAAAGATTATCTCATTGAAATGACCATATGCAAGATGACGACATGAAAGAGGGCACATTAGAGATGACATATGTGAGATTGCCACGTCAAAGATGACCATAAAAAATTACCACATCAAAGATGACAACGTGAAAGATGACCACATAAAATATGGCCACATAAAAGATGACCATATGAAAGATAAGCACAACTGCCGAGGTGTTACTGAAATATTATGGATGAGATCTCTTCACAGACTGTAGGTCACACAGACTGTAGGTTACACAGACTGCAGGTCACATAGACTGCAGGTTACACAGACTGTAGGTCACACAGACTATAGGTTACACAGACTTTAGATCACACAGACTGAAAGTCACAGAGACTTTACGTCACACAGACTTTAGGTCACACAGACTGAAAGTCACAGAGACTTTAGGTCACACAGACTTTAGGTCACACAGACTTTAGGTCACACAGACTGAAAGTCACAGAGACTTTACGTCACACAGACTTTAGGTCACACAGATGACCACATAAAATATGGCCACATAAAAGATGACCATATGAAAGATAAGCACAACTGCCGAGGTGTTACTGAAATATTATGGATGAGATCTCTTCACAGATTGTAGGTCACACAGACTGTAGGTTACACAGACTGCAGGTCACATAGACTGCAGGTTACACAGACTGTAGGTCACACAGACTATAGGTTACACAGACTTTAGATCACACAGACTGAAAGTCACAGAGACTTTACGTCACACAGACTTTAGGTCACACAGACTGAAAGTCACAGAGACTTTAGGTCACACAGACTTTAGGTCACACAGACTTTAGGTCACACAGACTGAAAGTCACAGAGACTTTACGTCACACAGACTTTAGGTCACACAGACTGAAAGTCACAGAGACTTTAGGTCACACAGACTATAGGTTACACAGACTTTAGATCACACAGACTGTAGGTTACACAGACTTTAGATCACACAGACTGTAGGTTACACAGACTTTAGATCACACAGACTATAAGGTTACACAGACTTTAGATCACACAGACTGTAGGTTACACAGACTTTAGATCACACAGACTGTAGGTTACACAGACTTTAGATCACACAGACTGTAGGTCACACAAACTGTTTTGTAAAGTCAGTGTACCAATTATACCTCTCTATTATTGACTTGACATCTGTTTTGTGACGTCAGTGTACCAATTAAACTTTTATATCTTGACTCTACATCTGTTTTGTAAAGTCAGTATATAATTGTACCTCTTTATTATTGACTTTACATGTGTTTTATGAAGTCAGTGTACCAATGATACCTCTCTATTATTGACTTGACATCTGTTTTGTAAAGTCAGTGTACCAATTATACCTCTCTATTATTGACTTGACGTCTGAATTTAGGGTTACAAAACTATGGTTGGAGAACGGGGAGCCCAATTATCTGGAGGACAGAAGCAACGAGTGGCCATCGCTAGAGCTCTCGTCAGAGATCCCAGAATTCTGCTGCTGGATGAGGCCACGTCGGCCCTGGACTCCAAGAGTGAGGGGCTGGTGCAGGCAGCACTCGATCAGGTAACATGCCGTGATAATTCCTTCTGTAGTCTAGATTGTCCAACTTTGTTGCCTGCGGGGTTCACTGGAATCGGATGTGTTGTGCCAGCATGTGCAAACAGCGTAGCCTGACTGTGAACCACAATACAGAGTGCTATCCCTTTTTTAAAGGCTTAAGACGGAAATAGTAGAAGAAAAGACGACGAATCAAACAACTAGTCAATCAAACAACTAGTCAATCAAACAACTAGTCAATCAAACGACCAACAAGCTAACTGTCTCTCATCAAACAACCAACAGTCAACCAACAAGCTAACTGTCTCTCATCAAACAACCAACAATCAACCAACAAGCTAACTGTCTCTCATCAAACAACCAACAAACAACCAACAAGCTAACTGTCTCTCATCAAACGACCAACAGTCAACCAACAAGCTAACTTTCTCTCATCAAACGACCAACAGTCAACCAACAAGCTAACTGTCTCTCATCAAACAACCAACAGTCAACCAACAAGCTAACTGTCTCTAATCAAACGACCAACAGTCACCCAACAAGCTAACTGTCTCTAATCAAACGACCAACAGTCACCCAACAAGCTAACTGTCTCTAATCAAACGACCAACAGTCACCCAACAAGCTAACTGTCTCTAATCAAACGACCAACAGTCACCCAACAAGCTAACTGTCTCTCATCAAACGACCAACAGTCAACCAACAAGCTAACTGTCTCTCATCAAACAACCAACAATCAACCAACAAGCTAACTGTCTCTCATCAAACAACCAACAAACAACCAACAAGCTAACTGTCTCTCATCAAACAACCAACAGTCAACCAACAAGCTAACTGTCTCTCATCAAACAACCAACAATCAACCAACAAGCTAACTGTCTCTCATCAAACAACCAACAATCAACCAACAAGCTAACTGTCTCTCATCAAACAACCAACAATCAACCAACAAGCTAACTGTCTCTCATCAAACAACCAACAATCAACCAACAAGCTAACTGTCTCTAATCAAACGACCAACAGTCACCCAACAAGCTAACTGTCTCTCATCAAACAACCAACAATCAACCAACAAGCTAACTGTCTCTCATCAAACAACCAACAATCAACCAACAAGCTAACTGTCTCTCATCAAACAACCAACAATCAACCAACAAGCTAACTGTCTCTAATCAAGAGAAAGAAAAAATGTTTTTTGCTGTTCGCTTTGAGGCAGGTAGCACCACCATTTAACTGTTATAATTAGGATATCACAGCCGCAAGATAGTCATTTTCATTTGAAGATTTTAGTGGGATGTCCCATTTTCAGCTGCAAATTTTAGTGGGATGTCCCATTTTCAGCTGAATATGCCATGGTCACCCTACACTGACCAATCACCATCTGGGCGCTTGAGGCAGTTGTACTCTACGGTACAAGAGGAGACAGATGTTAACACCGCCTTACTTGCTTCCAGTGTTGCCTCTTCCACCAAGGTGTAATTTTGTGTTATCAAAATTTTTGGAGTTAAATTCACGGAATTACTTCTAGAAAAGTGGTCACTTTCATGCTGCCAGTTCAGGGCTTAAAGACTGTCAGAATCATGTTGACTCTGTCTGACCAATACTACAGTGTAACAATACCTCAGTCTGACCACCACTGCAGTGTAACAATATCTCTGTCTGACCACCACTACAGTGTAACAATACCTCTGTCTGACCACCACTACATTGTTACAATATCTCTGTCTGACCACCACTACAGTGTAACAATACCCACACGATCAGCCGGCAACATTCTACACTAGAAAAACTCTACAGATGATGTGTCAAGCATTTTGACCCCCTTATCGACTTGTCTGTTCTATCCACAATCACCAATATCCAGTTCCGCATTGAGGAACAGTGCCTGTACATTGAGTCATTCCTTCAGAGAGCACTTTCGTGTGTCAGTATTCAATAATCATGTGCTAGGAACTGTTCGGATTGTCCTTGTCCGGATATTTACTGAATCATTTTAACATCAGGAGACAGCCATATAGCCAGTGGATATCGTCTGGAAATAGCCATATGCCAGTGGATATCGTCTGGAAAAAGCCATATAGTCAGTGGATATCGTCTGGAAATAGCCATATGCCAGTGGATATCGTCTGGAAATAGACATATAGTCAGTGGACATCCAAGAGGAGACTGCCATATAGCCAGTAGATATCCATCAGGAGACTGCCATAGTAGATATCCATCAGGAGACTGCCATATAGCCAGTAGATATCCATCAGGAGACTGCCATATAGCCAGTAGATATCCATCAGGAGACTGCATTAAAGGTAGTAGATACCTCCGGGAGACAGCTAAATGACTAGTAGATAGCAAACGAGCTGGCTGCGTGGATTTTTATCATGGTATGGGACTTTGCAGGTCAACCCATCCTAAAATGGGTCCCAGGATGGCTGTCCTGAAAAAGTAAAGATGGAAGGCGTAATGCTGACCACACTACCCACCGAGTGCCGATGGTCTGTAGAAATATGGGCGCTCTTCCCATTTACCCGATAAGCCAAAAGGCATGAAAAGGGACCGTTACTTTTACTAGATACTAAATGAGAGACAGTCATAAAGTTAGTAGATCCTCTTTTAGGCAAGGAAATGGATGGCTATGATTCGGTATTTTCCTGTGATGTGGCCATCTTCACAGAGAAGGTTTTCTATCATGGATGCTATCATGTTTGTGTTTTAAATATCCATTTAGTCCAGTTGTCACCATTCAACATCGTATGGCTGTTGAGACCCAGTGTTGCCTTTTGGTTAATACATTTCAGGTTTTCTTTGAAACTTTCCAGTCAAGTGTGACCTGTTGTGTAGAGTTTCATGTTATAACAGGAAATATGGATCAGCATTGATACTGTTATGTTTGGATGAATAGTTGCAGGCCGTCGAGAGGTAGGAGGACGGCGCAAGTGAGCAGTGATGTCCAGTGTCCAGCTGAGTGAGTGCGACCACACAATCAGCTTATAGGTTGCCTGTCAGTTATGGTCAATCATGAAGCTTTTGTTGATATCCTAGGCTCGACAAGGCCGGACTACAGTGGTCGTCGCCCACCGGCTGTCCACCATTCAAAAGGCAGACGTTATCTTCGTCATGGACAGGGGTCAGCTGGTAGAGACGGGAAAGCACAAAGACCTGATGGAGAAGAGAGGCATCTACTACAACTTGGTCATGCTGCAGACCATCAGTGAACATGAAGAGCCATATGAGGATCAAGGTAAGAGCAACACGTAGTTAAACCTGTCCGTCTACCCAAAGGTAGGAGAGACACGTAGTTAAACCTGTCCATATACCCAAAGTAAGAGCAACACGTAGTTTAACTTGTCCCTATACCCAAGGTAGAAGAGACATGTAGTTAAACTTGTTCCTCTACCCAAGGTAGGAGAGACATGTAGTTAAACCTGTCCCTCTACCCAAAGTAAGAGCAACACGTAGTTAAACCTGTCCATATACCCAAAGTAAGAGCAACAGGTAGTTAAAACTATATATATATACCCAAGGTAGGAGAGACACTAAGTTAAACCTGTCCATCTACCCAAAGTAAGAGCAACACGTAGTTAAACCTATATATACCCAAGGTAGGAGAGACAGTAAGTTAAACCTGTCCATCTACCCAAAGTAAGAGCAACAGGTAGTTAAACTTATCCCTATACCCAGGGTAGGAGAGACCGAAAATTGGTTGGTAAACAGCATCTGGTTACGGCAATATCAAACATTACAATGGATTGGAAAGAACTGTAGCGAACGGCACGGTACCGGACAAGGTAGGTAGGTTCTTAACCAGCATGGAGTTGACCACAGGAAGACGCTATGAGCAGGAAAGTTCTTGGGAGCTACCTTCGCTCACGGGCAGCTACATGATAACGGTGATGCAGACATTTTGATGTATACTTCTTTCTCAGGGTCAGTTGTTGGTGACGCCGCAGCAGAAGTGACAAATGCCACAGCTCATCTGTTTCTAAGTCAAGTTTCCACACAGGGACTACACAACGGTCAGGTGGCCAGACAGCGTTCAGTGCAAAGCGTCACTTCTCAAAGCTCTACCAAGGGCAAGAACTTATTCAAACCTGATGCAAAAGATTCAGAGGTAGGTTACTGTCCCTGAACATGTTTACAAATGGATTAATGTTCCTGATGCTGTTTATGTAGACAAGGCAGCTTAGAGATTCGGTGTGTCTTATGGCCTGACTTCTTGTCTATGAAGTGTCTAGCGGCCCTTATAAATGGTTACATATCCATGAAACAGCTAGGTTTAATGGCCCTTATAAATGATTACATGTCTATGAAACGTTTAGGGCTAGTGGCCCTTATACATGATTACATGTCCATGAAACGTTTAGAGCTAATGGCCCTTATAAATGATTACATGTCCATGAAACGTTTAGGGCTAGTGGCCCTTATACATGATTACATGTTCATGAAACGTTTAGAGCTAATGACCCTTATAAATAATTACATGTCCATGAAACGTTTAGAGCTAATAACCCTTATAAATGATTACATGTCCATGAAACGTTTAGGGCTAGTGGCCCTTATACATGATTACATGTTCATGAAACGTCTAGAGATAATGACCCTTATAAATGATTACATGTCCATGAAACGTTTAGAGCTAATGGCCCTTATAAATGATTACATGTCCATGAAACGTTTAGGGCTAATGGCCCTTATAAATGATTACATGTCCATGAAACGTTTAGGGCTAATGGCCCTTATAAATGATTACATGTCCATGAAACGTTTAGGGCTAATGACCCTTATAAATGATTACATGTCCATGAAACGTTTAGTGCTAGTGGCCCTTATAAATGATTACATGTCAATGAATCGTTTAGTGCTAGTGGCCCTTATAAATGATTACATGTCCATGAAACGTTTAGTGCTAGTGGCCCTTATAAATGATTACATGTCCATGAAACGTCTAGAGCTAATGGCCCTTATAAATGATTACATGTCTATGAAACGTCTACGTCTAATGGTCCTTATACATGATTACATGTCCGTGAAACGTTTAGGGCTAGTGGCACTTATAAATGATTACATGTCTATGAAACGTCTACGTCTAATGGTCCTTATACATGATTACATGTCTTTGAAGTGGCTAAGGCCAAAGGGCAAATGTTTACATGTAGATGCTACTGCCCCTGTGAACTGTACTTATATCCTATAATTTGTTCTGGATCATTGAGTTGCAGTTTTGCATAATACTTGGTAATCCTATGCATGTCAACACTAATATATCTAGGCACGTTTGATGCAGACATTTTTTAATGACCATATCCTAATCGTGTATGGGATGCTTTAGAGAACGTCGCTCCCATCACAGACTACACGACAGATACGGCCCCTCGTCAGCTGTTACGTCCAGTGCCACGTCTTCTCTTATGTCCTGGGCCCACATTCGTGATGGTTGGCCCCTACCTCTTTTGTCTGGAATTATGTCTTCATCAATTGGCTTGGGAGCTAGATATGACCAAAATATTTTAGGATTTCGAGACAAGATATTTTAACGAGCCAGTTTCCTTTGACCTTTAGATCTTGAAGATGTCAGTATTCATTTTCTTCTTGATCCGGTTTATTCTGAGAATCTTTCTATAACACTTCAGCTCAAAAGCTCATAATTTATTCCTTAAGGATGGGGACGTATTCGACCACTCCCATCCATATGTTGCTACAGGAAATATGCAAGTTCTCAACATTTTTACTTCGATTTGATCGATGGCGCTTAGCCAGAGACTTGTAATGCTAATGACCATCCACCCCTATCTAGTTGTTGCTCACGATTCCTTGTCTCGTCGTGGTTTAACCTCAATCCGCTACCCCTGTCTTAGTCTGGCAAGGAGATCTCTCACACCCACTCCCTCAGTCTTAGTCTGGCAAGGAGATCTTTCACACCCACTCCCTCAGTCTTAGTCTGGCAAAGCGATCTTTCATGTCCACTATCCCTGTCTTAGTTTTGCAAAACAATCTTTCACCAACTCACAATGTCTTAGTTTTGCAAAACAATCTTTCACCAACTCACCATGTCTTAGATTCGCAAAACAATCTTTCACCAACTCACCATGTCTTAGATTCGCAAAACAATCTTTCACCAACTCACAATGTCTTAGTTTTGCAAAAACAATCTTTCACCAACTCACCATGTCTTAGTTTCGCAAAACAATCTTTCACCAACTTCTTCTTCTTCTTCTTCTTCTTTTTCTTCTTCTTCTTCCTCCTCTTCTTCTTTTTTTTTCTTTTTCTTTTTTTTTTTTTTCTTCTTCTTCTTCTTCTTCTTCTTCTTCTTCTTCTTCTTCTTCTTCTTCTTCTTCTTCTTCTTCTTCTTCTTCTTCTTCTTCTTCTTCTTCTTCTTCTTCTTCTTCTTCTTCTTCTTCTTCTTCTTCTTCTTCTTCTTCTTCTTCTTCTTCTTCTTCTTCTTCTTCTTTCTTCTTCTTCTTCTTCTTCTTCTTCTTCTTCTTCTTCTTCTTCTTCTTCTTCTTCTTCTTCTTCTTCTTCTTCTTCTTCTTCTTCTTCTTCTTCTTCTTCTTCTTCTTCTTCTTCTTCTCTTCTTCTTCTTCTTCTTCTTCTTCTTCTTCTTCTTCTTCTTCTTCTTCTTCTTCTTCTTCTTCTTCTTCTTCTTCTTCTTCTTCTTCTTCTTCTTCTTCTTCTTCTTCTTCTTCTTCTTCTTCTTCTTCTTCTTCTTCTTCTTCTTCTTCTTCTTCTTTCTTCTTCTTCTTCTTCTTCTTCTTCTTCTTCTTCTTCTTCTTCTTCTTCTTCTTCTTCTTCTTCTTCTTCTTCTTCTTCTTCTTCTTCTTCTTCTTCTTCTTCTTCTTCTTCTTCTTCTTCTTCTTCTTCTTCTTCTTCTTCTTCTTCTTCTTCTTCTTCTTCTTCTTCTTCTTCTTCTTCTTCTTCTTCTTCTTCTTCTTCTTCTTCTTCTTCTTCTTCTTCTTCTTCTTCTTCTTCTTCTTCTTCTTCTCTTCTTCTTCTTCTTCTTCTTCTTCTTCTTCTTCTTCTTCTTCTTCTTCTTCTTCTTCTTCTTCTTCTTCTTCTTCTTCTTCTTCTTCTTCTTCTTCTTCTTCTTCTTCTTCTTCTTCTTCTTCTTCTTCTTTCTTCTTCTTCTTCTTCTTCTTCTTCTTCTTCTTCTTCTTCTTCTTTTCTTCTTCTTCTTCTTCTTCTTCTTCTTCTTCTTCTTCTTCTTCTTCTTCTTCTTCTTCTTCTTCTTCTTCTTCTTCTTCTTCTTCTTCTTCTTCTTCTTCTTCTTCTTCTTCTTCTTCTTCTTCTTCTTCTTCTTCTTCTTCTTCTTCTTCTTCTTCTTCTTCTTCTTCTCTTGCTGCTGCTGCTGCTGCTGCTGCTGCTGCTGCTGCTGCTGCTGCTGCTGCTGCTGCTGCTGCTGCTGCTGCTGCTGCTGCTGCTGCTGCTGCTGCTGCTGCTGCTGCTGCTGCTGCTGCTGCTGCTGCTGCTGCTGCTGCTGGCTGCTGCTGCTGCTGCTGCTGCTGCTGCTGCTGCTGCTGCTGCTGCTGCTGCTTCTTTAAGGCTGTTCTTAATGTCATCGTTCCATATCTCCCTTGCTCTGTCTGCATTTTATTTCATCAGCGTGACAGCTGGTACCAAGATATTTTCGTCAAATGGCCAAACCATATCTTTCGTTGTTACTCCAAAATGAATTGTCTGATTAGTTTCAGTCCTAGGATGCTCCCAGACGCATTGTCGGCGATCTACTTTCTTATTTCATTACTCTGGGTCGTCGGGTAGGCCGGATAACAGACTCGGCTACTCTAAAACACACTTAAGACATACACCTACGGAATACACAGCTTTAATGAACAAAGAACAATTCAACCTAAAGCAAGCTCCAACAGCTGTAGACGGTCCTATATCCGAAACGCCAGCTGTGGTAACTTTGACATTCTCTATCACACACCATCCCGTTCCTATGGATGTACCTGGGGACGCAATTTCACATCACTGTCGTACAGCGCTAACTGAGCTGCCGTCCTCGCTTCGCGAGATTCAGTGGCACAAGCAGGGTGAGTGACCCAAATATGTGTAGGCAGTGTTAACGCCACCATCAATGCATGCCAACACGAACTACGTGCTTAACAGACTCTACTTAAAAGCTTCTACCACATAAGTAACACCACACACAAAAAAATCCTGTGAAAACAAGGTATGGAAACACATCATAACTAAAGACAAACCACAATCATATATTTGCTAATCGTCACTAATATAAGATACGTTAACCGTCGCTGTCCGACAAACGTCCCGTCCAAGCGTCCAACTAAAGTATTCCCGAACAACCTCTCTTAAGGAATTTTGTTCCTCTCCAGCGTCCAGTTCTGACACGCTGTACCTCATGATACTTGCAGGGCGCAGTGCTCAGTCCAACTCACCCGACAAAGACCGATCTCGCTGTGAGTTTGTCCAAGGTTCATCTCGTATACACCAGATGATTCACTATCATCACACTAACTCATCTCGTAACTGATCTGGTTTCTGACACGCATACATCTTTAACTTTTGTCTTCTGCACCAATTTGTAGACACTTACATCTTTGACCATAGAAGTTGAAGGATGCTGGACACAACACGTTCTGTTTCAGCAAATCATTAATTAGTTGCATTTTATGACATGCTTCTTGAGGGTCAGACTACAGTTCTCCCCCCCCCCCCCCCCCCATCGCCCCGCCCGGATAGTGCCTCAACTTCGTCATAGAATTCTAAGCAGTTCAAAACCCATACCATTATCCCCAAAGGAAGCAAACGCCTTTGACCCCAAGTCAGCTTATGTCTTCCCAGATAAAGCCCATACCTTTTCCCCGAGAAAGCCCATGCCATTGTCCACGAGAAAGCCCATGCCATTTTCCACCAGAAAGCCCATGCCATTGTCCACTTGGAAGCCCATACTATTGTCCACGAGGAAGCCCATACTATTGTCCACGAGGAAGCCAATACTATTGTCCACGAGGACGCCCATACTATTGTCCACGAGGAAGCCCATACTATTGTCCCCGAGGAAGCCCATACTATTGTCCACGAGGAAGCCCATACTATTGTCCCCGAGGAAGCCCATACTATTGTCCCCGAGGAAGCCCATACTATTGTCCACTTGTAAGCCCATACTATTGTCCCCGAGGAAGCCCATACTATTGTCCACGAGGAAGCCAATACTATTGTCCACGAGGAAGCCCATACTATTGTCCACGAGGAAGCCCATACTATTGTCCACTTGGAAGCCCATACTATTGTCCACGAGAAAGCCCATACTATTGTCCCCGAGGAAGCCCATACTATTGTCCACTTGGAAGCCCATACTATTGTATACGAGGAAGCCCATACTATTGTCCACGAGGAAGCCCATACTATTGTCCGCGAGGAAGCCCATACTATTGTCCACGAGGAAGCCAATACTATTGTCCACGAGGAAGCCCATACTATTGTCCACGAGGAAGCCCATACTATTGTCCCCGAGGAAGCCCATACTATTGTCCACGAGGAAGCCCATACTGTTGTCCCCGAGAAAGCCCATACTATTGTCCCCGAGAAAGCCCATACTATTGTCCCCGATAAAGCCCATACTATTGTCCACGAGGAAGCCCATACTATTGTCCACTTGGAAGCCCATACTATTGTCCACTTGGAAGCCCATACTATTGTCCACTTGGAAGCCCATACTATTGTCCACTTGGAAGCCCATACTATTGTCCACGAGGAAGCCCATGCTATTGTCCACTTGGAAGCCCATGCTATTGTCCACTTGGAAGCCCACACTCTTGTCCCCGAGAAAGCCCATACTATTGTCCACGAGGAAGCCCATACTATTGTCGCCGAGAAAGCCCATGCCATTGTCCACGAGGAAGCACATACTATTGTCCCCGAGGAAGCCCATACTATTGTGCCCGAGAAAGCCCATGCCATTGTCCACGAGGAAGCACATACTATTGTCCCCGAGGAAGTCCATACTATTGTCCACGAGGAAGCCCATACTATTGTCCACGAGGAAGCCCATATTAAAATAAATTAACACAACTTATTCAACTGTCTTCTTCAGGATATCACTTTTAGGCCAGGCTTTCTGCGCATGTTCAAGTCAAATCTGAAGGAGTGGCCGTATATTTTATTGGGCTGTACTAGTGCCGTGATCAATGGAGCTACCTTTCCCTTATTTGCTTTGTTTTTCAGTGAAATTATCAAGGTGTGTGTTTCATTTCTATTCCTATTAGTGATTGTTAAGTATGTGGGTTAATGTTGAAAGAATGATCGCAAAAACGACCAGACGAATGAATATTGGTTCGTTTTGTAATGTGTCAGTTAGGTAGTCAATCAGTCTGTCCGTCAGTGAGTCAATTGGTCAATTAATCAGTCATTCAGCTAACAGATAGGTTCGTTGGTTAGTTAGTTGACTATTTACTTCGCTGGTAGGTAGTTAGTAAGTGAGTTGGTTGTGAACAAACAAAAATAGAATACGAAAATCTTAACTGTGGAATTAGGGCAGGAGAGAAGAAACAATCCAGTACACAGAAGGAAAAGAGAATGGAATGAAAGCGGTGGGGAGGACATAGGGGTGAGCTGTACGCAACAGCCAAAGTTGCAATGACTGAGCCTGTTTGTTGAGAATATATGTTCCATTGAGAAGATAAGGATCAGCAAAATAAGGTATATAGAGAACATACTCGCATTTCCCATGGCAAAATGCGGGTCTTCTTCATGAAAGCTGAGGTAATAAGAATAGCGGGGGGGGGGGGGGGGGGGAGGAGTGGAGAATGTGTGAACGTCTGTGTTACTGATAGCACAATCAAATAACCACCAGAATCCAAATAGGAAGGAAGCACCACATTTTCAGAAGTCGCACACTCGATAGAGAAATAGAAGCCAGAGTAGAGAAGGCAAACGCTGTCTTCTACCAGCTATCCAGACAGCTTAGACACTAAAATGTCTCCCTTTCAGCAAAACAGCATCACTACTTGATGATATGTTTGCCTTTCAGCAAAACAGCATCACTACTTGATGATATGTTTGCCTTTCAGCAAAACAGCATCACTACTTTATGATATGTTTGCCTTTCAGCAAAACAGCATCACTACTTGATGATATGTTTGCCTTTCAGCAAAACAGCATCACTATTTTATGATATGTTTGCCTTTCAGCAAAACAGCATCACTACTTGATGATATGTTTGCCTTTCAGCAAAACAGTATCACTACTTGATGATATGTTTGCCTTTCAGCAAAACAGTATCACTATTTGATGATATGTTTGCCTTTCAGCAAAACAGCATCACTACTTGATGATATGTTCGCCTTTCAGCAAAACAGTATCACTACTTGATGATATGTTTGCCTTTCAGCAAAACAGTATCACTACTTGATGATATATTTGCCTTTCAGCAAAACAGTATCACTACTTGATGATATGTTTGCCTTTCAGCAAAACAGTATCACTACTTGATGATATGTCTCCCTTTCAGCAAAACAGCATCACTACTCGATGATATGTTTGCCTTTCAGTAAAACAGCATCACTACTTGATGATATGTTTGCCTTTCAGCAAAACAGTATCACTACTTGATGATATGTCTCTCTTTCAGCAAAACAGCATCACTACTTGATGATATGTTTTCCTTTCAGCAAAACAGCATCACTACTTGATGATATGTCTCCCTTTCAGCAAAACAGCATCACTACTTGATGATATGTTTGCCTTTTAGCAAAACAGCATCACTACTTGATGATATGTTTGCCTTTCAGCAAAACAGTATCACTACTTGATGATATGTCTCCCTTTCAGCAAAACAGCATCACTACTTGATGATATGTTTGCCTTTCAGCAAAACAGCGTCACTACTTGATGATATGTTTGCCTTTCAGCAAAACAACATCACTACTCTATGATATGTTTGCCAGACACGGAGAATGAATAGGGCGTTACTGTCTCCGTAAGGTTACTCGCACCAAAAGAAGGGACAGGGTTACGAATACCAAAATAAGATATAAATTAGGAATACCCGAGTCTGAATTGTATTGACAGACAAAGAATGAAGTGGTTCAGCCATCTAGTGAGAAGGCAGCCAGTACACATTGGTGGGAGATTTTTTTTTTTTTCAACAGCAGAATATCTGGGAGGAAGGCTAGGGGAAAACAAGAAAGGAATGAACAATAGTATAAATGAAACATGCAAAAATATAAACATTCATTAACAAGGCTACTCTAGAAGAGTAAAACAAATACACAAAACCGCGACACGGGGATGCTATCTGGTATCGCTGAGACAACAAAACCACATCACTGGGCTACAACCTGGTGTCAGTGAGACATCAAAACCACAGTACTGGGCTACAACCTGGTGTCAGTGAGACAACAAAATCACGACACTGGGCTACAACCTGGTATCAGTGACACGACAGAACCATGACCCTAGGCTACAACCTGGTATCAGTGACACAATAGAACCACGACCATGGGCTACAACCTGGTATCAGTGACACAATAGAACCACGACCATGGGCTACAACCTGGTATCAGTGACACAATAGAACCACGACACTGGGCTACAACCTGGTATCAGTGACACAATAGAACCACGACCATGGGCTACAACCTGGTATCAACTACACATGGGTCTAAGTGCCAAAAAGAAATTATTAAACATCTTTAATGCCAGCTGGATTTTTAGTGTAGTTCCTCCAGCCTGGAGAAAGTCTGAACTCTTCGTAATCCTGAAACAAGGAAAGCCGAAGAACAACGCAGACAGCTACAGACCCATCAGCCTCACTAGCTGTCTGTGCAAACTATTTGAAAGATTATTGAACAACCGACTGACCTGGTTCCTAGAGAAAAACTTCAAACTAATGGAGGAACAGGCAGGTTTTCGACGTTGCAGATCAACAGAAGACCAAATTACATTTATTGCTCAACACATTGAAGATGCATTCCAGGAAAAAAAGCACACTATTGCAGTCTGGGTGGATATGGAAAAGGCCTTCGACAAAGTGTGGAAAAATGGGCTGAAACAAAAGCTACTTGAAAGTGGAATATCCCATCACATGCTTGGGTGGATCGTAAAATATCTTGAAAATCGATCTGCAAGAGTCAAGATACAGGGTCAAGGAGCAGATCAGTCTCAATGACACATGGAGTTCCACAAGGCGGAGTTCTGTCCCCAATTCTTTTCCTAGTTTACATTAACGACATAAAATCAACCCTCTGTAATGGAATTCAGGCCGTTATGTATGCCGATGATCTGGCGCTACTGAGTTCAGAGGAGGACACTGAAAAAGCACAGACAAGGCTTCAAGAATCCCTCGGAACTCTAGAGAGGTGGTCCAATAGCTGGTACATGCCTGAAAATGGGGCCAAAACCACACACACCATTTTCAGTCTCTCTACCAAACCCCAGAAAGTTTCACTTAGATATGGCAGCCAGGCACTGATACATGATGACTCACCGTCATATTTAGGAGTAACCTTTGACTCAAGACTCACATGGAGAAAACAGATAGAAAAGACACAGAGCAAGGGACTCAAGAGAACACAACTGATGAGGAAGTTAGCTGGAACAGACTGGGGGGCAAACCTCAATGTCCTTAAGAGGACCTATACAGGCTATGTGAGGCCAACACTAGAATATGGAAAAGCTGCTTGGGGCACAGCAGCTATATCAAATTTTCAGAAAGTCTCAAAGATCCAAAACCATGCTCTCCGTATTATGACAGGGGCAATACGCTCCACGCCCATATCAGACATGGAAACAATTACTGGTCTCCATAATCTGGAAGATAGGAGAGGCACAAAGATCCTAACCCAGCTCTCCAAATACCACCACTTTCAAGAACAACCCATGTACAGCCGACTGCAGAAACCCCAGAAGGCTAGACTAAAGAGAACTTGCTTTATTAAGAACGCAAATGCCAAGCTCGCTGTCCTTAAACTCCCTCCCATAATACCAAATGTTCCACTCAAACCTTACAACGACTGCCCCGCTTGGCTTAGGGATAGCCTACCAACAGTCAGAACCACTGTAACAGGGGTCTCCTCCAAATCATCAATGAGCAGCACTGATATGAAATCAACTACAGAAGGAGATATCAATAGACTTTACCCACACCAGAGTTGGATTCGAGTGTATACAGATGGTTCAGCCAAGAGAGCAGTAAGAGACGGAGGAGGAGGAATATACATAGAATAACCAAATGGTTTAAAAATCAACCAGGCTGTACCAACAGGTTCATATTCCTCCAATTACAGAGCAGAGGCAGAAGCACTTCTAGCGGCATGTTCTTTCCTGAATGGACAACAGCACAGCAAATATAGCAGAGTGGTCTTTCTGACTGATGCTATGTCAGTTCTACAAGCAATTGTTAACCCAAAAGACACTCAGTTTGTAGACTTGATGCAACAGCTGATTTACTTAGGCTCTTCAGTAGAACAATTGTACTGCAGTGGATTCCAGGCCACTGTGGCTTGGAAGGCAATGAAATAGCGGACAGATTGGCCAGAAGCGGCAGTGTCATGGTGCAACCAAAAAGCGACTTAACCCACAAAGAGATGAAAACATTAATACAATCTAGTATCCAAGAAAGGTGGCTGGATACCCACACCAGATTTTCTCCCCAAGACTCACTTCATCGCCTCTCTAGAGAGGGACAGTCTATTATTTTCAGACTAAGGACAGGGCACAACAGATTTCGTCAACATATGTTCAAATTTTTCGGTGTAGGAAATACGGAGACGTGTTCCTGCAGCGTGGCACCCGAAAATGCTGAGCATGTGCTCCAACACTGTCAACTGTATGCTGACAACAGAGACACAATCTGGCCTGTTCCAACCACAATGAAGACAAAACTGTATGGTACACAAGAGGATATGGATTGCACGATAGCTTTCATAAAGGCTACCGGCCTCCTGATATAAGTTTTCTGACAGAAGGATCGAAGAAGAAGAAGAAGAAGAAGTGACACGACAGAACCACGACCCTGGGCTACAACCTGGTATCAGTGAGACTGACTTCGTGAGACTACAAAATCGGAATTTTATTCCGACATCGTGAGCATTGTGGAAGATGATTTTCTTGTTGATTATAATCATGCACATTCCTATAGCTATGTTGATATTTCATAATGATATCTTACCTCAGACATTTGGTCTGCGCGGTCAGGAGCTCTTGGATAAGGGACTCCTCTGGAGCTTGATGTTTGTGGCTATGGGAGTGCTTGCTTTCTTTACATATCTGACCCAGGTAAACATTGTTTGTTGGCGCTTTAGTGTTTGTTTATCTGCGGCGTATTAGTGGCTAAAAATAGCTCCCTTTCAAGTAGCCCTGGGTCTCTCAGTGCTGATGCGATGACTTCAACCACTTCCGCCATGTCGCCCTTTGGCCAGCCAGTAAGCTATCTGGTCGCCGCTTTTCTCTGTCTATTTTCTTGTATAGATAGACGCTGAACATGGAATAGACAACCACGATAAGTAACCCTAGTGTTTTGAAAGAGGGGAGGGCATGACAATAACAGTTTACAAACAGTGAAAGGAGACAATTGCCATTATTTTCGCTTGTTGTGTGGGGTCCATATTATGTGCTAGAACATGTGACCACAGAATGTAACAAGGGTTATGTCACTGACCTCATGCGTCTAGAACATGTGATCACAGAATGTAACAAGGGTTATCTCACTGCCCTCATGCGTCTAGAACATGTGATCACAGAATGTAACAAGGGTTATCTCACTGCCCTCATGCGTCTAGAACATGTGATCACAGAATGTAACAAGGGTTATGTCACTGCTCTCATGCGTCTAGAACATGTGACCACTAAAATATAACAAAAGTCATGTGACTGTCCTCATGGCTGTAGAACGTGTGACCACTAAAATATAACAAAGGTCATGTGTCTGCCCTCATGGCTGTAGAACGTGTTACCACTAAAATATAACAAAATTCATGTCACTGCCCTCACTCCTGTAGATCATGTGACCACTAGAAAATAACAAAGTTGATGTCACTGCACTCATGTCCTTAGAATATGTGACCACTAAAATATAGCAAAAGTCACGTGACTGCCCTCATGCCTGTAGAACATGTGACCACTAAAATATAACAAAAGTCACGTGACTGCCCTCATGCCTGTAGAACATGTGACCACTAAAATATAACAAAAGTCACGTGACTTCCCTCATGCCTGTAGAACATGTGACCACTAAAATATAACAAAAGTCATGTCACTGCCCTCATTCCTGTAGAACGTGTGACCACTAAAATATAACAAAAGTCACGTGACTGCCCTCATGCCTGTAGAACGTGTAACCACTAAAATATAAGAAAATTCACGTGACTGCCCTCATGCCTGTAGAACATGTGACCACTAAAGTATAACAAAAGTCATGTGACTGCCCTCGTTCCTGTAGAACATGTGACCACTAAAATATAACAAAAGTCACGTGACTTCCCTCATGCCTGTAGAACATGTGACCACTAAAATATAACAAAAGTCATGTCACTGCCCTCATTCCTGTAGAACGTGTGACCACTAAAATATAACAAAAGTCATGTGACTGCCCTCATGCCTGTAGAACGTGTGACCACTAAAATATAACAAAAGTCATGTGACTGCCCTCATGCCTGTAGAACGTGTGACCACTAAAATATAACAAAAGTCATGTGACCGCCCTCATGCCTGTAGAACACGTGAAGCTTATTATGGGACTTTCTTTGTCTTGTTCACGTCATTGTTGTTTTGTCATGTTTTCAGCACGTGTGTTTTAATCTGTTTCACTCCATCTGCTTCACTGCATCTTTGCTGTTGTTTGTCATGTTATCGGCTTGTCTCTGTTGATCTGCTTCACTGCATCTTTACTGTTGTTTGTCATGTTATCGGCTTGTCTCTGTTGATCTGCTTCACTGCATCTTTACTGTTGTTTGTCATGTTATCGGCTTGTCTCTGTTGATCTGCTTCACTGCATCTTTACTGTTGTTTGTCATGTTATCGGCTTGTCTCTGTTGATCTGGTTCACTGCATCTTTACTGTTGCTTGTCATGTTATCGGCTTGTCTCTGTTGATCTGCTTCACTGCATCTTTACTGTTGTTTGTCATGTTATCGGCTTGTCTCTGTTGATCTGCTTCACTGCATCTTTACTGTTGTTTGTCATGTTATCGGCTTGTCTCTGTTGATCTGCTTCACTGCATCTTTGCTTTTGTTTGTCAGGTTATCGGCTTGTCTCTGTTGATCTGCTTCACTGCATCTTTGCTTTTGTTTGTCAGGTTATCGGCTTGTCTCTGTTGATCTGCTTCACTGCATCTTTGCTGTTGTTTGTCATGTTATCGGCTTGTCTCTGTTGATCTGCTTCACTGCATCTTTGCTGTTGTTTGTCATGTTATCGGTTTGTCTATGTTGATATGCTTCACTGCATCTTTGCTGTTGTTTGTCAGGTTATCGGTTTGTCTCTGTTGATCTGCTTCACTGCATCTTTGCTTTTGTTTGTCTGGTTATCGGCTTGTCTCTTTTGATCTGCTTCACTGCATCTTTACTGTTGTTTGTTATGTTATCAGCTTGTCTCTTTTGATCTGCTTCACTGCATCTTTGCTGTTGTTTGTCATGTTATCGGCTTGTCTATGTTGATCTGCTTCACTGCATCTTTGCTGTTGTTTGTCATGTTATCGGTTTATCTCTGTTGATCTGCTTCACTGCATCTTTGCTGTTGTTTGTCATGTTATCGGCTTGTCTCTTTTGATCTGCTTCACTGCATCTTTACTGTTGTTTGTTATGTTATCGGCTAGTCTCTTTTGATCTGCTTCACTGCATCTTTACTGTTGTTTGTTATGTTATCGGCTTGTCTCTTTTGATCTGCTTCACTGCATCTTTACTGTTGTTTGTTATGTTATCGGCTTGTCTCTTTTGATCTGCTTCACTGCATCTTTACTGTTGTTTGTTATGTTATCAGCTTGTCTCTTTTGATCTGCTTCACTGCATCTTTACTGTTGTTTGTTATGTTATCGGCTTGTCTATGTTGATATGCTTCACTGCATCTTTACTGTTGTTTGTTATGTTATCGGCTTGTCTATGTTGATATGCTTCACTGCATCTTTACTGTTGTTTGTCATGTTATCGGCTTGTCTATGTTGATATGCTTCACTGCATCTTTGCTGTTGTTTGCTGTGCTTTCAGCACGTCTGTTTTGGATATTCTGGGGAGGCCCTAACGGCGAGACTTCGTCAGGCGACTTTCAAGAGCATGCTGCGCCAGGATGTGGAATATTTTGATAACCCCAGACATTCCACGGGAGCCCTGACAACTCGACTGGCAACAGATGCTTCCATGGTGAAAAATGTACGTCCTTGTGTTATCGTATGTCATGCTATGTTATGCAAAATTAATTGAATTAGTACATCAAGAAGCTGCAGGAGATACAGCAAGAGATAGGAAGTTTTAAGTGGAACAGTGTTAATGTATATGCCTGTGTTGAGTCCTTTGTTAACAATGAACAATTGGACTTGTTGAAAGAGATCAAACAATTACCCCGTGAGCGAGTGGCGACTTTAACGCACAAGTCTATTAATGGGATCTGTCAGATTATAAATGATAAAAGGCAAGGACAAGTCTTGAGTCTTGAGGGATGCGCTAGTGGAATCCGATTGTGTCTACGTCAATGATGGCAAACCCACAAGGATGGCAGTGAGGCCAGAGGATGCAGACACTGCCACTGATCTTGCACTAGTCTCATGGATAGCAGAAGTACCGGGAAATGTTATAGGCGGTAAAGGTGACCGACGTGGTATTGAAGACATCGTCCAGAGACTGTGATTGGTCTAACGACGACTGATCTGACACCGTGTGCACGAAGCACTCATTCGTGAAACAAGTTAGAGAACACGTGATCACCGGTTTGACAGGCAGACCTTGGAGAACACGGGATCACCGGTTTGTTAGGCAGACCTTGGAGAACACGTGATCACCGGTTTGACATCCCAGCCTACCCGTCTTATCGTGATCCCTGTTTGTACTTGGTCCCATTGGTTTCTGGAGATGTGTTCAACTGGAGGCACATTTAGTTTCTGGAGATGTGTTCAACTAGAGGCACATTTAGTTTCTGGAGATGTGTTCAACTGGAGACACATTTAGTTTCAGTATATGTGTTCAACTGGAGGCACATTTAGTTTCTGGAGATGTGTTCAACTGGAGACACATTTAGTTTCTGTGTATGTGTTCAACTGGAGACACATTAAGTTTCTGGAGATGTGTTCAACTGGATGCACATTTAGTTTCTGGAGATGTGTTCAACTAGAGGCACATTTAGTTTCTGGAGATGTGTTCAACTAGATGCACATTTAGTTTCTGGAGATATATTCAACTGGAGACACATTTAGTTTCTGTGTATGTGTTCAACTGGAGACACATTAAGTTTCTGGAGATGTGTTCAAATGGATGCACATTTAGTTTCTGGAGATGTGTTCAACTAGATGCACATTTAGTTTCTGGAGATATGTTCAACTGGAGGCACATTTAGTTTCAGAACTTGTGAAGCTGAGAACTGTGAGCCGATGCTGCTGACAGACGGGCATGCAGCCTTTCACCCCTAGGAGCGCTAGTAATCGTTCTTTGTGTCTCATCTCGGGAGAATGGACTGTCCCACAAACTGGGGCGCCAGACCCAACATGGGGACATTCAGTGCTCAGAGGAAAGCCAATGCGAACATAAAGTTAGAACACAACAGACACCATCAACACCGGAACACTGAGCTGGCTGCTGATAATCGAGAAGGGTCATGTATGGAATTGCCACGAGTGCCTTATGTCAAGTTTAAATTTGTATTAACTCAATAAAATATGTGACGCGTTCACAGGCTACGGGGATCCGACTAGCGATGCTGATTCAATCGTTGTTCTCCTTGATGGCGGGACTTGTCATTGCTTTTGTATACGGCTGGAAGCTGGCTCTGGCTGTTCTCTCGGGGATACCTGTCTTGCTTCTTGCAGGTATGTCACCGCCATGTCCTCTTGTTGTTGCTGCTGCTGCTGCTACCGCTGCTGTTGCTACCGCTGCTGTTGCTACCGCTGCTGTTGCTACTTCTGCAGTCGCTTTTTCTTCTTTTTCTTTTTCTTGTTCTTCTTCTTCTTCTTCTCCCATTGATACCAGTTGTCAAGGTATTCTCTGATTTGTTTCCTTTTTTTAAAATTCATTTAATGTTCATAAATTGTATCCTCATTAAGGAATGTAGCGACACTTTATAGAGCTGGAGCAGCTGACG